CTGCAGATCTGATGTTATAGTTTGGGATTCAGCTTTCATTATCCTACACTGTACATGTTGTCTTCTCTCTTTGCACAGACGTGTGTGTTACTGGTACAGTTTGTGGAGGCCATAGTGGTTCTGATCCGACAAACTTCTCACATGCGAGTGACCAGAGCGCTCAGACCAATATTCCTGGTGGACTGTAGATATTGTGGTGCTGTGCGCAGGTAAATAATGACCTACACACTCACACACACACACAGATTCAGTCTGGCCCAAGACATTGCCACAAAATAGACATTACATTTTTGATTGAGCACACATTTGACTTGCATACTGGAAAATACTAGCGGGAACAGAGAGACTAGTCGTCCCCGCCCGGGCTCCAAGCAAAAGTCTTGTCATATGAAAGAAAACGGTGACTCAACTCTGTAGGTTTGTAAAGCCAGACAAAATTAAACAAACTCAGTGAGATTTCAGCTCCATCTATCTTACTAACAAATGTTTCTGAGAAGTTCTTTTGTTTTCTATTGTGGCCACCCACAAGGCAGTTGTCACTGACGAGGTTTCTTTCATCCAATCAGAAACTTGCGTCAGATCTTCCAGTCTCTCCCGCCTTTTATTGACATCCTCCTGCTGCTGCTTTTCTTCATGGTTATATTTGCTATTCTTGGTAAGAGTGCATAAAGAAACACTTTGATTATTTTCTGTCCTCTATTTGTTAAACTTGTTTATTCAAGCAGAGGAAACGCCTCATGAAGAAAGCTGTTTTTGTTAATGTTTGTATTTGATTAGCTCTTTGTGTCCTCCAGGCTTCTGTCTCTTCTCCACGAACACCTCTGATCCGGTATGTTGAGTCTTCCATCTCACTTACAAGAGTTTGTTTGAGTTATGTCATTTCAGGGATTTGGGTGGTTCTTCTCTTTGTGCCAGTTTTGTGTCTGGTCATATTTCCTGTCTTGAACCCTATCCTCTCACCACAGTACTTCAACACTATGGAGAACAGCCTTGTCAGCCTGTTTGTGCTGCTGACCACAGCAAAGTAAGCACGGCAATACACGTACTACTGCCGCTTGGTTATCTTTACACATGGGGCATGTAAGCAGTGCTCACCACGTTTAGAGCTTCTCATAAATCCTTTTACCACTTTTGCTTAATCTGCTTCCACAGTTTTTTTTAATTTTTTGCATCTTATGACTCGGTCTGCATCTGATGACATCTCTCTTTCACTTTTGTAGTTTCCCTGATGTGATGATGCCAGCATACTCCAAGAACCGCTGGTCCTGTGTTTTCTTCATTGTATACCTCTCTATCGAGCTCTACTTTATCATGAACCTGGTAGAAGAAGCTTGTTTTTTTTCACAATTTCTGAGATGTCTTTGAGTCCTATTGAAAATACACACGGCTTGAAGTTTTCCCAGTTACTCATCATCGCCGTCTGTGCCCCCCTCTCCAGCTCCTGGCGGTCGTGTTTGATACATTTAATGATGTTGAGAAAATGAAGTTTAAATCTCTGTTGCTTCACAAACGCTCTGCTATCGACCACGCCTTTCAGCTGTTAGTTAGCCGTCAGGTATGCCTGTTTTTTTTTTTTTTTTTTATTATTATTATTATTATTTGTAACATGTCTTTCCTTTTTCTTTAACACTGTCAGGTGTTTTCTTAAGCTTTTCTTATGTTTCTCTGTGTTACACAGAGACCGATGGGTGTGTCTCTGAAGCAGTTCGATGGTCTGATGCGTTTTTACAGACCACGCATGTCTGCAAGAGACCGATTCCTCACTTACAAAGCTCTTAACACATCAGGGGCTCCCATGCTCAGGTAACTGTCTCTCTTCCACTTCTCAGAATGAAAATCCTTTTACATTGATTTGCTTTGTCACTGATTTAATGGTGGTGTGTTCTGTTGCAGCCTGCAGGACTTTTATAAGTTCTATGAGGTCACTGGCCTTAAATGGAAGGTAATTAGCCTGACATTTCTGCTGTGTAGCTGCTCTATTTTTGTGCTCCTCTGGTTGATTCAAATATACATTTACTGTCAATCTGTGTGTTGTTTAGGCACGTCGCAGTGGAGAACACTGGTTTGATGATCTTCCACACACAGCCTTCCTCATTTTCAAAGGAAAGTTCTCTTTCTCTCTTTTCTTCTGTTGTCAGGCAAAATAAGATTGGCTCTTGATCCCTTATTGTGGATACTTTCCTCTCCAATTTATTAGGTATCCATTTGCTTGTGAAGTCAAAGGCCTTTCAGTATACTATGTGTAAGTGTAATCATTGATCTTCTCCCAGCTGCTATCAGTGATACTGATCAAAGTCTCTTATCAAAGTTTTTTTGTGACTGTAGATGTGGTGGTGGCCATCAACGGTGTTTGGATCCTTGTGGAGACGTACCAGCTGAATAGTAAGATCTTTAACCGTAATCTGCAGTACTGTGCAAAAGTCACGAACCCCTCATATCTTGATATTTTGCCTTAAAGGAGCCAGACTTTCTTGTCATTTTAAATTGGTTTTGAGCAATAGTTCTCCATTCTTTCTGGAGGTCTTTAAAAGTTTTTCTTTCGACATTGGCTGCTTTTTTACTTAGGCCAGTCCTCATCCCTGACTGTTTTCAGTGGAATGTTTTTGTTGTTTGATAAACCGCTTAACTCTGACCTATGACTCATTCAATGATAAAAAAGGCCCCTAACTCAAGGGATGAACCAGTGTTGTGTCTACACATAAAAGACAACTAAGCAGAAAAATAATAATTATTAATATTCTATCTTTAGGCATATTATTACTAGCACCCTGATGTAGAAAGGGATAACTTGTTTCCATTTCTATAGTTGAATCTATGAAAAACAGCACAAATGAACAACATCTGAAAGTCATGTCCTTAAGAAATTGAAAGAAATTCAGCAAAGACCTGATGCAGGACCCCGAGAGATGCATCTGGCCGTTCAGTCGATCCATCTACTGTTCACTGAAGCCTCATCAGAAAAGGTCTCAGTGGAAGGGTGGCTGTCAAGAAGCCATTCTTGAGGAAGGGAAATGGGAAGAAAACGCTGAGGTTTGCCAAATTACACAAGAACTGGACTGAATCAGTGGAAAATGTGTCTGATAGATTGAAGAACACAAATTTGACATTTTTGGTCAAATCATTGTCAGTATGTACAGAGGAAGTCAGAAAAGAAGTACAACAGTGAGTGTCTACAGCCATTTGTAAAACATGTTGGAGACTCTCTCATTGTTTGGGGCTCCATTTCAGCCGGTGGTGTTGGGGCTGTTGACAGGATTGTGAATGCAGAAAAGTACTGCCAGATTTGGATTCACCATGCAGTATATTCTGCAAAGCGTCTAACTGACAACAGCTTAATTATTTAGCATGACAATGAACTCAAACACATTGGCAATGTGTTTAATCTACCTAGGTAGGTTAGCTTCCCCAGAACCTGGACCTCAACATTATTGAAGCAGTGTGGGATCATCTAGATGGAGAGCAGAACTAAAAGGGAGCCAACATCCAAAGAAGAGCTTTGAATGTCAGTATTCCTGAAGACCTATGCCTATGAGAGTTCAGGCTGTGCTGAAGAATAAAGGTGGTCATACCAACTATTGAATTTCAAGCTCTTTATAATTGCATAAACTCAGTTTTTGCTTTATACACGTATGTTTTCATGTGTTCCAGTGAATAACTGTGCTTAATTTCCTGGCAATATATTTAAAAAAACGCCCCAAGACTTTTGCACAGTACTTGCACAGTACTAAGGCATGTGTTCCAATACTGCAGGTGTTTTACCTTCCTCTCCTCTTGCAGGTGGATTTTCCTGGTCCAAATTGGTTCCCTGGAGTTACATTGTTTTTCTGACCAGTAAGTAGGCTGCATGGCACCCTCCCCACCCTGCACCCTGCACCCCACATAGAAAGTCCAGATAGTATTAAAATGTCATAAGGTGTCGAGGATTAATTACAGTCGTTTACACTGTGTGTCTGTCCTTCCACTTTCAGTTTATGGTGTAGAAGTGTTATTGAAAATATCAGGTTTGGGGCCAGTTGCCTATTTCAGCTCTGGGTGGAATCTGTGAGTAACACACATTGAAAACACAAATCTGTGCTGCATCCAAAACTCAAACTGTGCACTCTGTTAAACACAAACAATGTCTAAATCAACAGACTCCATTTGAGTGTGGAAATTTTAGGAATCTTTAATAATTAAACGTGACATGTTGTTTTTCAGTAGGCCTACTTATATTTAAAAGAAAATCACAGAAATACCTCTGAGCTGATATGAAACCCTGTTTCTCTGCTTTTGCTGGTAATCCTCATTGTGCTCTTCCGTCCAGGTTTGACTTCTCTGTGACGGTTTTTGCCTTCTTGGGCCTCATTGCTCTTGCCTTCGATAAGGAGCCGTTCTACTTTATTGTAATTCTCAGACCGCTTCAGCTGCTAAGGTATGATTTTCAATCTCCTTTAACGTGACAGCATATATGCACATAATGGCAATAGTAATTTATTTTACATTCAAATTTCTGTGTGTTGCCTTTTGCAGGTTATTTAAGATAAAGCAGAGGTATCGTAATGTTTTAGACACCATGTTTGAGCTCTTCCCCAGGATGGCCAGTCTAGGGTTGACATTAATCATCTTCTACTATTCCTTTGCTATTGTGGGAATGGAGTTCTTTGCAGATGTGGTTTACCCCAACTGCTGCAAGTGAGTAGTCGTGTCATGAGACGCAAATGGAAAAAGTGGGTCTCTCCATTGGTGATTCATTACTTCATTAATTTATTCTTCCTTTTTTCTCTCCCTCTCAGTACGAGCACAGTGGCCGATTCCTACAGACTGATCAACAACACACAAGGCAACAAAACAGTGCTGGAAGAGGGCTACTATTATCTCAATAACTTCAACAACATCCTCAGTAGCTTTGGTAATAATCCCTTTTTCCTTTTTGTCAAAATTCTGTATTTGTATATTATCTACATCTGTTGTGTGTTCATGTGCGTTATGTTTTCTAGAATTTTAAAAACATTTACTCATTTTTTGTTTATCTCCAGTGACTCTGTTTGAACTGACCGTGGTCAACAACTGGTACATCACTATGGTGAGTTTATCTGTGGTTCAAAATCTGTCGCCACTCGGCAGCCTGAGCACAGATCGTCGGGTGTCTGACTGCTTTTTGCTCTTTCACAGGAAGGAGTGACGTCTATGACGAGCCACTGGAGCCGTCTGTACTTCATGACTTTTTATATAGTTACGATGGTGAGTAGGAATGCGAACAGAGGAACAAAACAAAACTCAGAGGTTTTGCCTATCTGAGACAAATTGAAGCCTTTTTTTTTTTCCTTTTTCAATGTTTCTATCCTGCCCTGAGGAGCCTGTGTAGTCTTACTTTAATGTTGTCCTCTGCATAATCTACTGAAGAATCAGTGTGTGGGAATGTAACCATATTGCATACAATGTTTTGTCTGTGCAGGTGGTGATGACCATTATTGTGGCGTTCATTTTAGATGCATTTGTGTTCCGCATGAACTACAGTCGCAAGAACCGGGAACCGCTAGAAAATCCAGAGGGTGGGTTTGAGTGTGTGTGAGATTGTATGCAGGTTAAGAGTTGTTAGCCAGGATCTAAATTAAATGTGTTTGTACACGCTGTAGATGAGAATGGGATCGTGTTTGAAGTAGAGGTGAGTCGTGATGACGTTCTCGCCGCTCTCGAGTTGTACAAACAGATGTGCCCAGGATCGTCTTCCCTCAGCTCTCTCCAGGGAGTCTTACAGACTATGGACAAAAGTGGGGTAAGAACACACGCAAACAGCAAGAAGTCGTCTTCTTCTGCTCTTTAAGTCCCTCTAATTAATTTTTACTCCTGATTTGTTGTGCGCAGCACTCGTCTTTAGTGTACCTAGGTCGCAGGTCTAGGACGAAGAGCGACCTCAGCATGAAAATGTACGAGGAGGAGATACAGGTAAGAAACTAAAGATGTAATCCTGAATACCATGTCAGGACTTGGACTATCATGATGTGTTGGTCTTTTCTGTGTTGTTTCTTAAGGAGTGGTATGCAGAATATTCGAGGGAAGCCCTGCCTGAACCAGACCAAAGCCTGGAGCGGGATCCAGACAGCCCCATGCCTGACTTGTCTCCCTTCCCAGAGCCTCAGCTCAACTCACAGACTGGACCTCACAGCATCAATTAATGCAAAGTTTGCTAGGGAAACATGCACATTGTCATTCCAACGTTTTCCTTTAAAGGCAAAATCAGGAAGCCTGGACTCCCATATTATGTGTGCATATACTGCTGTTGGCCTTTTGTGCCCTATGGTAAACCATGACGCATCTAAACCTGATGCCTTAGTTTAACGACTCCTCTGATCAGTATTAACACACCCACTGAGTTTTCCAAAGACCGAACTATATAAACACTTAATACTCCTTTTAGCTCAACTGAACAAATTATGACATTTTCCCTCAACTAATGTCTCAGCAGACTTATAATATTTTACTTTTATATAACTTCGTATTCTGTAATGTATTTGAGTTTATTTGAATAAACTGTTAGAACTTGTCAAACTGTGATGTTCATTGATGTTGCTGGATTATAACACTGCTGGCTGTAAAAATTACCTATTTACTCTATTTAGAGAAGTTAGAGGGGAAAAAAAAATGAAAGCACATACACTCCAAAAAAATTAAACCAAAATCATTTAATTTCCCCAAAGCAGCATGCACAAGTCATTAACATTTAGATCAATAATTAATGGAGACAATTCAGTGTTTCAAATTACAAAAGGCACAGTGTGAGTCATTTCAGTCCTCCCTGAGCAGACTTTGCTCGCCTGATTTCATTATCCAACCACAGGAACTCTGTGGGTAGTAGTCAAGTGGAACAAAGGTTACAGCTGATTCTTGTAAAAAAAATAGTGCATAAATAGTTGTAATTTTTCAGACCGGCCGCAGCATCAGGTCTACGTAACACGAATCTTGCCAAACTCTGTAAGAAGTGCAATGATAAGGAAGATGACATAGAAGATGAGGAGAAAGATGCCATAGGCCCGACCCAAGTGGAAGCGGCACAGCGGAACGATGACAAAGGACAGGACCAAAGACAAACCCAGAGATCCTGCAAGAATCCATGTCAGCAAACCTTCTGGTTCAACCTGAGAAGGAACAAGAACAAAGGCTTATTATCTTCATAGTGTCTGAAACAGGCTCGTGTAGCTTGGGTTAGATTACGCTGCATCTTAGAGGAAATTACCTGCACGTCGGCATGTGTTTGGAGCATTTGCACCAGACATCCTAAACCCACTCCAAACAACATGTCTGAAGGAAGTAAGAGTCAAGGATACTAAAAGCCTCTTTTATACATGCATGATAGGTGTTGTTTTACAGAGAGTCACAAAAACAAGGATACTGAAAATGATGCCTCCAAAGCAGGCAGATATAGCCATCCGTGGGTAACCCTGCCGAGCCATGGTGATGTCAGAAAAGCAGTCTGAAAATAAGAGACACACAATTTATTTATTTTTTTTAAACAACTAAAGTTACATATAGTATGTTTTTGGAGAAAAATACTGAATGAAGTTTTTAAGCATTACCTCCAATGCTGTTTCCCCAGGCCAACAGAGTCAATCCCAGCACAGTGTTGCTCAGACGCAGCACAACCCCGAGCATGTGCAGAAGACTGACCACTTCAGAGGCCGCTGCACTGATCAACACTGCACTCACCACAAACCCCAAAAGAGCAAAGAACTGGAGGGGAGGGGAAGGACAAGAAATTTACAAACAAGTATCATCATAGCATAAATGTAAAGACCTGTGATGTAGCTTTAATCTTGAATCAATATGAGAAACGCAAATATTTTAAGCCATCTTAGAAGCTTGATGGCAGTGTTGCTAAAACAAAACCAGCAATTACCAGATATCCATCAGCCTCAGCTGTACTTAATTTGTGTTTTGTGTTAATTAGCAAATGTCAACTAAATCAATGTACTCAACATGCTAAACCATTATACCTGCACTCAAACTCATAGCATCACTGTGCATCAGAAGAGCTAGACACATAAGGGACACAGCACTCAGAGAATAATGAATAAAACAGCAATAGGAGAGTTAAATAATGCCAAACGTGGCAGGTGACTTGCATCTGCCCCAGTAAAGCACATCAGTAATCAACAAGGAAACATATGCTGTAGATAAATATGCAAAAACAACTGGCTCATGAGGTCCATGAGTTTGTATTGTGTGGTAGCAGCTATATCTACAGGGTGTAATAAAGATGCATGTAAGTGTAGTGTATTGTGTTGTTCTTGGAGTTTTTTTTGTGGTGCATGAAACAACAACAGACACAGAAAAGTAACTGAAGCCTGAATGTGGAGTAATTTTGCACATGTGCAGTAAAAGAATAGCGATAAATGCTTTCTACATTTATTTGGCCAGTGAATTCAAAGTTTCGTTTTTAGTCATTTTTTAAAAGACTTGACAGTTAAAGTTAAATTAATACAAGCACCTTTTTCTATACCAAATCACATTTTTACCCAACAGTCACACACTTGCACTCTGATGATTGCATCAGGGGAAAGTAAGGATACTTCGACATCAGTCTTCTGATTAGCAGACCACCCACTCTACCTCCTGAGCCACAAATGGCCTTGATGTTAACAGCACCCAGCATTCCCCAGCAGACTCCTCTTTTAAGTACTAATCAGACAGGACACTGCCAAACTTTGAAAATCAAACAGTGCTCAGTTATGGCTGCAAACTATTCTCAGATGTGGAGCTCGG